GTAACCTTGCAGTAGGCTAGGAACGCTTATTCGCTTTGTAATTTGCGTCAGGGCTTTTTTTTTTTGGTTTCACGTCGTGATTTTACGCTTTTACAGGGTTCTGGAGATCCGAGGCAGACTCTATGAACTATTGGCTCATTGTGTTCCTCCCGATGTGATTTTCAGGGTAAGGTTGGCAAAAGATAAGATTCGTGTCACATTTCTTTCTCTTAAACAATCAAACCAAGCGTCTTTGCTATCACAGGGGTTATTGGACGGCCTTCTATCATCCTGCGACAGCACTCTCAAGCATGAATTGATAAATCTGGCGGCAACTCACGAACATCACATGCATCTTGGACAAAAACCCATATTCCATCTGGAGGCTTTCGTGATTGGTTTTATGGCGTTGTACAAACGATTTATTGAGGATACTTTGGCTGGGAGCGGAATCTGACCAAGTTTATCAACGCTTTTAATGTGATACTGCCATGGAATCAAGACTTCTGTGAGCACTTACACCCGGAATAGGGGGGAGAGAGGGAAGCCAGCGGCAAAGCATGGTCTGCAGAGAATTCAACATGCGATTAGGTATAAAAAAACCAAGGCTGACTCTTCAAGCATATTTCGGACTTAACAACTCATTGGACTGTCTCATAGTACGTTGGAGGGAAGGAGAATACGACTTGACTCCCACTTGATCTGAGGGGCATTATGCCAGCGTTAGGAATAATATTCCAGTAGAACTTCAGTGTTACATTGTCGTTGTTGCGAAGCCCAGAGCCGTCATCCCAGAATGGGTACTTCCCCTTCATGCTCTTGTATTGGATGTCGTAGTTTTCTCCCCGTCGTATAATTTTGTCCCACAGAGCGACTTGATTAAGAGAGTTGCTAGGGGTCTTATATTCCGCTGCCAAGAATATAAAAAGTTGTTTCACGTTCCAATTAAAAAGGGGCTCCACGTTCGCCTGAGAAGAATATGTAAGATAATAAAAGTACCTTGATGTCAATACGGAGTCGCCCTAAATCATTTCTTGTAGGAGTAGAAACCGTGAAATCCTCCGCGACCTGTACGACGACGTTACCAACTCCCAGATCCACTGAGATTGTATTATCAAGAAAAGCGGTGGACAAAAATGTAGCGATCATCAATGCAGACATAGTGGAACCCAACAACGCAGAGAGCGCGCTAATCCGAGCGAAAATCGAATGCATACTCTCAACGTGCCGCGTCAGTCCCACAAACTTATTAAATAAGGCGCCGGACAAAAACCAGTAAATTGGAAATAACACTAGTATAGTATTATTAAGGCACTATAGATGGTAAAATGAATGAAAAGAAGACTGGCAGCCCAAATACTAAGTGGAAATGGCAGTCAATGGATTCTTTAAACTCGCACGTCAATATAATAAAATATAGTAAATCGATTATACAAAATGATCGAAATTGTAATGCATAAATTAAATAATTCCATCCGACCTATAGCCCTACCTTATCGTAAATGCAGAAACCTTTTCAATGATCATTACAACTGTAGTGTCCCGAGGTTTCCTATAGTTTGGAAGAAGGTTGAGTATATTTAATCTGAAGACGAAAGGGCATATAGGGGCTGATCGTGGCTCAAAGGCCAGCTTACGTGTACAAGTGACCGCCAAACGTCAGATAGTCACATAAACAAAGCATTACACTGCCCCTCTCTTCTTTTGAGCGACGTCCTCAGTGCTCCCCTTTGGTACACCTCTTGCGCCAGCCATCACAACACATTTAGTACAACAGAAAAGCAACTACGAGCCAACCGCGTCAGTCGACAGACAACACGAGACTGAGGAACCGTACCTGGTCTTCTCGGCGGCTTCAACCGGATCTGGAGTTACGTTCAGTCTGACAACCAGATTCGGGGCCGCATACACCTATTGACCACCAATTGCTTCCACGCATTATGTATTGCGTGGATGCGGGCAATATGTAGTAATGGGATGGTGAAGGGTAGTTCCATCCAATTAGGTGATGGACGTAGATATGGTTAAAATGTTGCTAACCCTTTGGCTGAACTTCAGGCCATGCTAAAGCCCAACGACGTCTTCTTTTCATAAAACAGTTATATCCAGCTCCAAAAATAACTTATCCTAACAAAAAGGAGACCTGAAGTCATTGCATTCTCGTTTCCAACAGCACTAGCCAGTTTCCATGGATTTTAAGATCTGCAAACGAGGATGGCTTAATCATTGTCATTGTTTTAAGGGCGGCAGTAAGATTATTAAATTGCAACACCAACTAACCAAATGTTGACGACTTGGTGGTTGGGTTCGGCTTTCACAAATGAACGAAGAAGTATGGAAAATTGTAACCGCTTATGCAAGTGATTTGATCTCTAATTCTGCAATATTCAGACACCTTTATCATTGACTGTTCAGCTGCGCATTGCTGCAAAATCTGTAGCATGATTATCGTAAAGTCCATCGTTTGATAGGAAATCCGTACCCCACAGATAAAACTCGAAAGAAACGAACAATGGTGTTGGGTATTCTCATTTTGAGTGTGAAATTAGACGCAATTGGAGGAGGATTTAGACTATCAACTTCAAAAAAGTAGCAGCGAAGCGGTGGCCCCTGGAAACCACCTACAGACTCCGAAGGGAAGTGATGATTTCGTCTAACAAGGTAGTCAGGCATATGTGACAGGTTTGGGCTAAAATAATCTTAGAGAACGAGCTTGTATGACGCTGGAGGAACTTAGTTTCTTCCCTACGGATCAACGTCAGCTTCAAAGATCATGCAACATCTGCAGCTCCTGAGCCAAGCACTATTTCTCAACTATGCACTACATTTGGTGTGGGGGAAAATGAGTATTTTGCCTGTAATATATACCAGAGTTTTTAAGTTTATCTTTATAGGGTAGTAGCTGGAAGCGGAGTTCCAGCGCGAATCCGTGTGATATTTGCTATTCGGTTCATCTGTGCTTCTGTCGCCGTAATTCATCTACTCTACTGCAATTAACTCTCCTTTAAATTCCGTGGTTCAAGGGCATAAAAGTAGGCAGACAGTTCCTACACTGCCAAAAGGATTTAAAAACAGAACAGAAACACGAGCAGGTATTATATTAATTAACTAAAATCATGTAGTAAGCACACCAGTACAGAAAAAAGACCCAAGTGTGCATGCATGGCCTATCCATAATACGGCTATGCATCACATATTATAAATAGAAGGCACCGAATAGACATGGTCTAACCATATAAGTCAAATCTTATGTTGAAAACGTAAGCGGTTTTCAATAAAGGTGATGCTCTAATCTAATAAAGATTCCAAATCAAAAATAATTTTATTAGACTAGACAAATGCAGAAAAATTAATACAGTCGCTTTGATTAAAAGCATGTGGGTTTTTTGAAAACTCTAATGATATTTAAAAAATTAAGTAAAAACTATAAGTCCCTAAGGTCTAAAATGCACGCATTTTAATAATAATTAATAAATTTAATGTGCTGCGGCATCAAATGTTTGTGAAAGGTTTTGGGTCCAATAGTGTAATTTTCAAGATATTAACCCTAAAATAACTCAATTGTTTTACCGGACCGTCCGTCTTCGCGTTTTTGAAAGTCTATTGTCTTTCGGATGAGTCCTGCACACCAGCCAGATTTGAAGAAGTGAGGAGTAGATTTTGACTTAGTGCTATTCTTGCAGATATCTAGATAAACGCGTCCGATGTGAGTCCTTGTGATCACTGGATTGTGATTCTACGTTGATCTTGGCGCTGTCTGGTCTCAACGGTTTTAATATTTTCCTTTAAAATTGCATGTGGTTGTTGTGATAGCTGCTAATACAATGAGCCGAAGCCACTGATAATTGTTCTACTACGACATCAGTGTGCTTGCATATGTCATGCTCCCCGTTACTCATTAATTCTCAACTTAGGTTTGCTTTCCTGCGTTGATTCTCGTGCTCTCTTTTTACTAGTGAAATTGAATGGCAATCGCGAAGTTGTGGGCGTTTTACGGGGCTTTGATGCGTTTATGAACATGGTTCTTGATGACTGTCAAGAAGTATCGAAGTCTGGACAGCAGATTAACATTGATACTGTTGTGGTTCGTGGAAACAGTGTAAATATTGTCGAGGTCTTGGAACGCTTTTAATCATTTTTTTCCTATAAGGCGTATAATAGATTGGCCTCCATTTTCTGATGTTCTTTCTTGATGCGGTTGGTGGGGTAAGCTACCTGGGGTTTCGTCGTCCGTGAGTTCGCTGGGTGGGGTTGCTGCAGGTTGGGTGCGTGGGTGTCTGATACCGTGGTGAGACTTAGGCTTGGGTGTCGTTGGCGTGACGCTTTGTTTGTGTGATCACATGACGTCCGACGATCAACTTGAGGTCCGTCTGGCCCTCGTAATCGTGGGCTGGCCTCCGGGCCATGCCCAGGTCCATCCGCACTGTCACCTTCAGGATGCATGTATCCAGCTGCACTTATTGACTTATACCAACTAGGAAGTATCGGGACGATAATGTTAGTGCTTGGTGGGGTTCTCCACAGCATATTTCTTGGTGCAGGAGTTCCGGGATAGTTTGGGTGGGGAGATACCCATTCTATATCATGAGGTTAACTTGGGCTGTACAGTGAGACTCCTAACCTCATAGCGGTATATGAATTTTCTATAAAAAACAATGTTTTATCTGGCTGCTACTCGCTGTTAATAGATTAGTAGTGGAATCGACATTTTAAGTTCCGCGGTCATTCATCGATCTATCAAGCTTTGAAAGAGTGAATTTCGCTCTATATATTCTACTTCCGCTTTTGAAGGGATGTAAACGTTTTTGATATCTAATGTATCGCTACTTTTAGTGGGCTAACCCAGCATATAGTATATTGAAATTGCTTCAGTTCCCTTCCTGTGATTCTTGGGTGGACTTGGTCATGTTGGATTCGAAAGACGCTCATTGGATTATTCCTGTAATTTTCATCTGGCACTATAGACACATTTAGGTTTCCGTTGTTGCCGGAATAGCTGCAGTTGCGGTAGCTGGAGGACTAGTGATTAAATTTGTTTTCAAGAAATCGGACAAGGTATTTCTCCAGGGTCAAAATATCAAATTACCAATGCGGTTGGTTGACAAAGAAGTACTGCTATTATTAGTAAGCTTTACGGTAGATTATCACCCATGACACAACACTATATACTTTTGGCCTTCCGTCAGTGGAGTATGTGCTTGGTCTTCCTCCTGGTATGTATTCGATTTTTGTGCTGTTAAGCTGCTAGGTAACTGCATTCAACTGCATGCAAGAATCAATGGGGAGGATGTCAAACGACCATATACTCCTGTTACTTTGGACGAGTACAAAGGATATGTCAAGTTCTTAATTAAGGTCAGTTATTCAACGGCGAATGCGTGGGATTTCGTTGCTGCACTTTGATAATTCTCAAATTTTTGACATTTTAAACATTAATGGAAAGTATCTGCCTCTTGTGAACTTCTAAATGTCTAACAAAACGCTCTCCATTCAGATTGGGAGCTTCTTTTACCATCTGATTCGTGCTAAAAATTAACTCGAAAATTTATTTGCGCATATTACTTTTTGGCGAATTGATTTTGCCCATTCTTCATTCATGTTTAAAACTAATGATTTGGTTTAATCAAACATCGCTTACCAATTTTACCAAACTCCGGACCTCTGTTTATGGAACAGTCCCTTTGGTTTTGGTGACCGGACGGATCCGATTTGCATTTAAACGCAGAAATTACCACTTTTTTAACTTTTCAAGGCCTACCGCAAAAATGTGAATCCGAATTTTCCTGCTGGAGGTAAAATGACTCAATATCTCGAAACTCTTGACGTTGGAGATGCCATAGAAGTTAGCGGTCCTTTTGGTCTTATTCATTATTGTGGAGACGGTATGACTTCTGTTGTTCATTTTAGAAAATTGTGATTGTTTTTGAGCCGATTTTCCGCCCATAACTCAGGCTTGTTCGAGGTCAAGGGTGGGACCACGCGGAAAGTTTCGGCAACCAACGTTAACATGATTTGCGGCGGCACTGGACTCACTCCGATGTATCAGCTCCTTAAGTATATTCTCAACTCTTCTTCGGACAGGACAAAAGTTGCCATGATATTCGCCAACCAAGTAAGTGCCGATAATAGTGTTGAAAACTGCACTAGGCTTATAAGGATGGAAGTAGACGTCTTTTAATTTCGAATAATGGTGTCCAGACGCCGTGTCATTATTTTTGAAGCCAAGGACGGAGTGGGGCGTACTTCCTTCTGGCTCTTCATGTAGACTTTAACTGAATTTTGTCTTCTTCTAATGGTATAGAAGAAGAAAATAGGTGGTCAGCACTTTACTTTCTAATGTGAGAGGTATTGCATTGTTGACGCGTCAGAATCGAATGCTGGAGTGCATTTGTCCGCCACAACCTCCTAATGGTATGTTTGTACTGCAAAATATTCTGCTCCTAGATGCCCTCAATATTTTATCAAGTCATTTTTGCAGCAGTTTGCCACTGTCCTTTTCCGTTTCTGAAGTGCAGTTTTTCTACGACCATGTATTTTGAAAGTCATACGAAGTTGACATTGAGGTTCTGTTAACTTATACTAGTAAACAGCCTCTGAAATCGAGTATACTTTACCGCGCTCGGCTCTGCGTTATCGACACACGTGATTTTTATAGACTGAAAAGGATATTCTTCTACGTGATGAATTGGAGCAGCTTCGCGACCAAAACTCATCTCAATTCCGCATTTGGTACACAGTTGAAAGTCCGCCACAGCGTGAGTTGCTACTTGGTCGAAAGTGTTGATAGTGGATCGTTCCCTAGATTCCTGCCTGATGTTGATTTTCAGCTGTCATTTAATCTGATTAAAACTTAAGCTAATTTAAGGTTCTGTTTGTTAATGTAAAGCATCTGAATTTGTTGCAGGTGCTTTAAATTTCAGCCCTTATTTTGAAGGTTGTGACGGTGGAGGCCTTTTGCTTTTTTGCGTTCCTGCTTTATACTGAGCACTTTCCGTAATTCCAGTGCTATTTGAGCTTGCCCGGTATAGAACTTGCTTTCAATGGATTAATCTCTGAGCGTTTGTTTGGTTGTCAAAAATGCATATTGGCACAATGCTTTAGTGCGTTTCTGCTTTGTGAAACAAGATCAATGGTGCCATGCTACCGCGTAGCATAGAGCAAGTTTGCTTTAAAAGCCTGTTTGTACTGACGTCATATACCCTATTGCACTGTGAGGGATCGTTTAGGTGCCCATCATTAAACTACACCCTCCTGCATATTTGATGCTGTTATCCTATTCGGTCCTTTGTACAATCGTAATTTTTCACCTTGATTTGGTTTGTACAACTGCTCTTACCAGTCTGTAGTAAATAGTCTTTGGCTGCATTGCATCATTATCTCTACGAGTGTAGTTGGTTAATACTAATGCCTGAACGTTCTGTTTCCTTGATGATTTGGTGTGCTTTTGTGAACTGGTGCAGATTGGACCTACGATGTGGGTTACTTGGATCAAAAGATGCTGGAGGAACATTGTTATCCAGCAAGCGACACCACTGTGAATTTACTCTGTGGGCCAGCCTCGATGATAAAGAACGCTTGTCTGCCAAATCTAGCAGCCCTCGGCCACAGCAAAGGGAACACACTCACATTTTAAGCTATGCATATCCGTTCATAGCCCTATTTGCACTCATCTGCTTTCATTCAAAATCACCAAATCTTGACAGTGGATTCTTGAATAGTCCATTTTTCGTGGTACTGCTTTCAAATATTTGTTCATTACTTCCACGCTACTTTGTTTCATCCCCGATCCACGGCTTTCAAAATGCGCTTATTAAAATCATCATGAGAATAGCATATCTTTAAATGCGGTCTTCTTCGAATTGGGTACTAAAAACGTGGTTGATAATTTCTTGGGTGTTTTGACTTTGATGAACTGTGCTTCGACCTATCTGCATTGCGTACGTAAAATTTAAACTCGTGGTGACGAACTCATATTTTCAGTAGGTTTTGTAACTTCATAACTTGAGTGAAGAGACGAGTGTTGGCTGGTTTGTCATCTGCGAGTCCGTTGAAGTGCCGTATGAATGTAGGTATTTGGAGAGAGCCTTTGGAATCGTACCGAGACTGGTCCCCGAGTTCAGCGTAGCATAGAAAAGGAGCGTGAGAAGGGATTTGCATTTCCCTTTGTGAAAAAGGGTGATGTGATGGTGCACACATCAATTGCGTTCTAAAGTAGATCAATATTAGAAAACCATCTTTCTCTAAGAGGCCAGTCACGAAATTTTCGCAGTTTTCTTTCGTTATAAGTAGATTCAGCAATTTCATCAAGTTTCCTGCATATTTGTCTTCCACTTTATCTTTCCAAGAAAATCTACAGTTCTATTTGATTGAGTGGTGTTATGTGTAGTTGGGTTGCTTGTGTACATCGAGGCAGGGACACTAGTTCGGGGTGGAGAAATTTGGACAAGGTAATGTTGGATGCCCATCACTTTCTTTTTTTCTTCAGGCGACAATGGACATGCATCGAATTCGGTCTATTAGTAACGACTTGGACTGATTTTTTTAAGCAGATTCGTTATTCTTGCTTGTGTGGGCCTAATATTGCAACATCTGGATTGCATATTCCGCACGCTTGTTACATCTCCTTCAAATCGGCATCGCAAAAATATTGGTAAACTTATCCAGTCTTCACAAAATGGTAAGGAAAATGATCAAACTCCTGATTGGTCAACAGATCATGAAATTAGCGGCGTCGGGATATTTGTGCTGATTGCACCCTTGTTTTGTAAAGGCATTTGCGATTCACTTTTTAAATTGCCATATCTGGCTAAACGAGAGGGCGGAATACCACGCTGAGGAAGACAATGGAGTGATTCTGCGTTATACCTTTCAGGTGTTGACAGACTTCAATAAATCCATTTTCATGTGCTGATTTCTGATATTCTCTCATTACAACTACTTACAAATAATGGGTAAACATCGTGCTGGGAGAAACCTTGGGTGTTATTAAATTGATTTGACCATTTTATCCCGCCTTTGCTGGCCAACTGATGTAGCGCCTTTCTTTCCAAGAATAACCGCAGAATTCAAAACAACGTTGTCCATGTTTTAATCGATCATCAAAAAGTGTCAAATGGCTGGTGCTTTGGATCACGAGGAGGAGTTGGTGTGGGACCCGATCTATCCAAGTTTGCAGGCCTACGCGAAAGACTTTGACTACGATCTGATGGGTCAAAAAGTACATCGAACTGCACGCTTCCTTGCGGACCCGCAGAACCACATAGAACGATGGGTTCGTGAGCAGCAAATGGAGATAATCGCCATTGGAGCCTCCCTCATGCTCTCAGTTATTGTAGTTTTTCTCTACAAGGCATTTATCTTCGGTTGCATCCTCAGCAGTCTACGATCTTTACGGCACTTCTTGGCTCTCCGAACAATTAGTAAAAAGTACAAGAAAGTGCAGGAAAAGAATGACCACGACAATGTAGATGCTGATGTCTTCGCGGCTGAGGCTTACCGAAAAGTTGTTGCTGCAGCCAATCTCTACACTTATCGTGACAAGACTGATATGATTGAATATGAGTCCGGTCGATTTAACTGGGAGACCCTCAGAGAAACAGGACTTGCATACCAAGAGCTCCTGAAGAAGAATCAGTTGGCGGGGACAATTTCAAAAAAAGGTCAGGGTTTAGACGTACACTTACTGAACTCACAAATTCGGTCCCTTTACCAACGAAAGTTGTAAAACTTCTACCGTATTTTACGATATTTGCTACAGCGAAAGAATTTTTCTGAGGATTATTTTCACCACTAATGGTTCCCAGTTCTCCGAAATTACATAATCCCTAATGTTGATTTACCACTTACAATGGCCCAGAGTTACTATTAGTTAAGGGCAAGATGTTGATGGTTACATTTCTTATCAAGCTTACTGGGTTGCCTTCGAACAAAGTAGGCGCCTGATGTTGTACGTAACGTGCCGCTTGGAAGTAAAGACATTCTGTTATCGGAGTGGCGGTTAGCCTTAACAATGCTAAGACAAAGAAATTTATGTGGAATTTTAATCACACGGAAAATCACTTTTTGCGATAGGTTAAGGAAACAAAGCGATTTTGTGAATGAGGTGTTTGAACGCTGTTACCTTATCGTAAAATAGAAATAAAATAGCGCATTAAAGATGTTCAGCAGTTCCGTTTTTCCATTATTTTTAAAATACTATATGAATGGTTCGATAGGGCGCTGGGGCAAAGTTGGAGGATGACTTGCAGAGTGATAACGAAATATGGACGTGAATGAGAGTCCGCTGCGAGTAAGGGATGCGCAAATGGAATTGGTTGCAACGCAGTGCATCAGGTTGCGCTCAAATTTTCGTCGGCAGATCGCGATTACCAGCCCCACTGTGCCCCAGTTAGCATGCCAGGGGTCGAGGAAGCAGGCGTTTGAAAATAAGAAGAAGCAAGAGCTTTATTTGAGCACTGCAAACTAGTCCTAGTACGATCAAGCATCGTCACCTACAGTCGTTCGTCAAAGAAGCGAGTACCCCATGCACTGACACTGTTGAAGATGAGCATAAAAATATAGTGCGCCTTTATAGCCTAGGACTTGATAAACTGCTGAACATTTAATTTATTGGGCAGTATCTTTACTTTGCTCAAAATTTTAACCACAAAGACAAAATCATTAAAATAATAGGTAATTGCTCGTGCTTTGTAAAGTGATTCAAATTGCAATATGCGAAGGGATGAAGGCCTGTGAAGGTCTGATGAACCGAATTTGCAGCTTAGAGAAAAGGTTTATCATTAGAAAACCACTCCAAAGCCGTTCCTGTTCGATCCATATGATGGCTAAGGAATTGGTTAGGCACTAGCAGCAATAAACGGTCTCAAGAAGGCTGCGCATTCCCACTGAATGCATGGAGAGAGCGTAGTGAAGCGCAACTGACATGATTTGATGTCATATGCACATCGACGATTTGTTGGAAGGCGAGTGGAAGGATTGGGTAGTGAGGGGTGAGTGTTCTCGCTCGCATTTCAGTCACATGTTCAGACTGCCTCATTGGAGGCAAGAGTTGTAACAACAAGGATTTTGCCACTCTTATCGTTTTTAGCAGAGTCGACGATACAAACTGGCTCAACCATGGAGCGCAATTTCGGCTCTACCTTTCACCTTAAACGAACGGAGTGGGAAAGTTGCGAATTTAACGACCCACAAACAAGCGAGCGTTAGTAATTAGATATAAACCTGGTTGATTTAAACTCCCTAACCAGAACTAATTACGTTATGCTAAGGGAGGAACTAATGAAATGTCTGATGCTGTATAACGAAGGTGATGTGCCATGTTACCAAGAGGTTAGGCTTTTGAGAGATGCATGCCTAAAGGCAAATGTTCTTTCTTGACAGTGTCAGGTAGACTCTAAGTGGAGCCGGCGTTCGACCTCCTCATGTTGGCACTAGCCTGTGGAAAACACTAATTCAAAATTATTTCTGTGATGTCAATCTTCCACATCCCTATTCCACACATGTCTCTGAAGTAGACTACGATAGCCCATTATCTGCGCATACTGAGCTCACTCCTGCAAGTATTGCGATGAAATTCTTTATGGTGAGTATTCCGACTGCAAGCGTATCTTCACCTATGCTCTTCTTCAAATTCACTTGACGATGAGGAAAATGAGCTTCGATTGTACCGTTAGGTTTGTTCTCTTCCTAACTTAGAAGAATTATATAACCAATAAAGCGGATTGCATGTTGATCAAGTCTGGAACAATTAACCAATTTGCCAGCTAGAACAACGGTAATTGTGACAGACGTTTGCTCAACACTCCATTCGAGCAATAGCAATTCATGAAACTAACAAATGTCTTCAAATGTGTCTTGCGCCTTTTTGTCACCCTACTTTCAATATTTCACTTGTACTAATGTTGCGTAGAAAATTTTCATCGCACCACCGAATTTTCACGCATTTTAAGCTAAAACCTGCAGTATTTCACTCTAATTACCCACGTCCTCTCGTCAATGCTTCAAACACTTATCAGTTCATTTTCACGCTCGTTCGTCTTACTTTGAACTTGAATTTGAAAGTAGTATAGGAAAACAGACTTGTCAAACGCGATGCTACAGCTGACGCAACTTCTAGCCTTAACGGTACCTAAGAATAGAGTTTGTGGCAAAGGCACAGGTTGGTTTCTATCAATGCAGTGGAATTGTGAGTGCAGTCAAAAAACCATTTGTCTACTTGAAGACAAATTATGTTTTGCGGTACTCACTCAGCCATCTATGCCACCAGTGTCTTTTGTAAGACCACAGAGCCTGTGTCTGGAGCGCTCAAACTGTTCAGTGATAGTTTTGTGTTTGTTCTCTTAAGCGAGACCGATTAAAATTATCTGCTTGATGTTGACAGATTTTGTTGTAGTCGTTATAAGGCATCATGTTTTTAATTCTCCGGGTGTCCCATGCAACAATACGATGGGGGATAAGATTTTTGTATTATACCAGTCAAGACATTTCATTGGACCTCTGGCCCTCGAAATGGGACTACAAACTTCCGAAATCGTCCTGCATTAGAACTGACCTAACAACTCGGAGTTTCCTTTGTCACTTTTCTATGCTTATTTGGTTATGACAAATAAAAACCACATAACAAAATGTGAATAATGTGTTTGTCGAACCCATTATATAGTGCACAATTACATTAATACTTCATTTTCCTTACTAGCAGCTCAATGAAAGCGTTGAAGCTCACGGCAAGGCCCTCTCACATACTCTCCATGATTTAAGTCAGAGGAGGTGCCTTCCAGAATTCTTTCCCCTTCAAGTGAACTACAGCATAAGCTTTTACGAGTTCAAATTCGACGACAGATGTTGCGAAGGTGACCCTTTTATGCAAAGCGTATCCGAGGTAATTGAAAAATGGTAACATTGCTTATGCTTCACGAAAATTGCCTGAGTAGAGCATCTCAATGATAGATCGGATAGGAACGAACACTTTTCTCGTATTAAAGAATACTCTGTTTGGAAAGCACTTCAGCGTAAAAAGGGAATAAACTATTAGTAATGATTACAAGCATTCAAATTTTAGTCGCATAACATAGGCATAAGGTTTGGAACGCATTCGATCGGGACCGACCTAAGTAGACAACCAGCGCCATCCCCACACTGAATGGCACTTGGATATCAACCTTTGATGCCAATTCAGATCATCTATAAAAGCATTTATATTGTCGTATTGAGTAAACCAACTTTTAAAGTTCATCCCAAGCTATTCATAAGTCTTGAAACGATAGTGATTAGCTGGGTAAAGCAATAAGCTTGAAGTTTAGAAATGCATCAGGTGACGTGTTTTGCAAGTTGCCTACTTGTGCAAGTCACGTGTTGAACCCAGCAACTGCGCAAGAAACTGCTAAAATCTTGTGACATCGGCACACAATCACCGTAGCATGCGTATGGCCTCATTGTGGGTAACATGCCAAATACAGGCTGTCTCGCAATATGCGACTTCGTGCTAATCCCATTTTACGATCTGCGCTCTCACCTAATTACGGAAGACTATTCATTTTTGTAAAATAGATTAGTTCGACGGGGTTAAAAGCTTTCCGTGTTTACTAAAGGAAAAGTTGGTGACAAAACGTTCGTGTAGAAATGGAGTTTATGACATTTAAAGAAGAACACAAAGTAGGGGTGAAGGATAAGCGATAAGTTGCAAAGACCAAAACCTTGCATGTGCCAACCTGTTGCATGAGTTGAGTAATTTACAAGATGTTGCTGATTGGGTCTTCTGCAAAGAAGCCAATCAGTCTGTAGATGCGCTAACGATTAGAAGACTGCTGTGCTCTTTCGTCTCAAATTTATTGCAGGGCAACCTCCAAGGGGAGCATCTTGCAAGTTGCAGACAAACATGACTGCTCGTGAGCCCTTCAAACCCATTTCTATAGACAAGAAACTTGGAGAGGTTTACTTTTACGAAAAATGCCTTTTAACTGGTTTCGGTATGGCCCCCAAGATGGATCCTTTCACAGATGAACATGCAGGAGCTATGCTAAAGAAAACCAAAAATGGCAAAAAACCCATAAAGATCAAGGTAATGGCATTAGCAGACTCGCTGAAACTGTCAAAAGCCTCCCACATCGGAAAGAAGCCACCACACTCAAGAATCAAGTATTCCGAAGTGAAAATGCACAAAATCTTCGCTCACTCCAAAAAGGTCCTGGTTTTGGGTGTTCAAGTGTCGGGCAATCCTCAGCAATATTTAATACTAACCTTTGAACAACCCCTCAAGGCCTCACGACTTGACGACGAATTGACCTACGCTGATGACGCCCCGAAGCACAATCTAAAAAATAGAATTTCTGCTTTTGATCGACTGGGAGTAGGTCAGCCATCCCCGACAGCCGTCATCGACAATTCTCCATCTCTCATAAAGGCAACTAGGGATGCTTCCCATGAATCACTCAAAAGTTTAAGTGAACAACCTGGTGGAAGCCGAGAAACCACCCCAATCCTAGAAAACAACTTTCCATTGGCCAAGTTATATCCGTCAGCAGAAGAGTTGGATGATGTGTCAACTTCGAGAGTCGTTGGATTGCCTAGACAACCAGCTCACAGTCCATCGCTCTCACCGTCCCCACCCACTTCGCCTATGACAACCCAATCAAACGCACACATATCGCAAAGCTTATCTTACAACCCTTCACAAACTGAGACTTTGAACGAGCCAATTAATTCAAAGGAACTTAATGCGCCAATTTGTGCCAAGTGTCGGTCGGAGTGCAAGGATTTGGTAAGTACTGCTACCTCTCCAGTCAAAATGCCGGCCACCGAATCTCGGTCAGGTTCAAGTTCCAGCTCTCACTCGCATGCTCATTCAGACTCTGGCCCTCAATCTTATTCTGCTACGCGTTCTCCCGACAAATCGACACACAACGGGCGCTCGGATAGCCGAACATCCACTGCTTCTCACCGCACTATGACGACAGACGCTAGTTCACATTACGTCATTTACGGAGAGCGTCCTCTTTATGAACAACAAATTCGGTCTAATCAGCAGCAAAAAAGGAGATCTTCTCTTGTAAACAAAATCACCTTTCCCTCACAAGACAAAAGCCCCACTCGAACGGCCAAACCACGACCAAGGGCAACTTCCACATCCTCGTCTTCCTCTTCGTCTTCGTCAACTTCTTCCTCTCCTCCATCATCTGAGCGTCAAATCACACCTAAACGTGAACATCGACCGAAATCGCTTGATTCTTCTTGCCGTCTCTGCAATCACGAATTTAGTGATGCTCCCAAAGCTGCGCCTGACTCCTCTAAGCCCTTGTTCATCCTTGCAACGGGAAGGTTTAAACCATTTTCAGAGCTATCACATGAACATAACATCCAAACACAGGGTGTTTGCTCTATTTGTGGTGAAGTAGGAGTTGGTGACCCAAGACAAGTAGAGATCATTCGTACTGACTCAAGTAGGGGCCCAGTCATTTCTGATGACGGCACCGTCTACATGTACAGCACAACTCGTCCGGCAGAATGCGCAAACGGTGATGGGTCACGCCGAAAGAATAGACATCACCATAGTAGCGCAAGACATCGACATTCAAGCGATTCCAGGTCGAGTAGCAGCAGTGATGGCAGCTACAGAAATGGCATTGAACAGCCAGCAATGACTGCGGTCCCCCTTAGGCGTTACTCGACTTCAAAATCTGCATCCCTGACTGAAGTGCATGTGCCTACTGAATCGAGACAACACTCCCACCATGACTCGTTCAAACAGAAAAAAATTTACCGCCTTGATAGCAGTGACAGTGATTCTTCCAGTTCGTCCTCGGATGAGGACGAAAAGAGTCATTTAGGCAACATCAAAGTGGTACCCTTGCGGTACTGAACTGGAGAAATCGCTTTCTTCTGACTCTCTCCTATCTTTCCGTCAATTTGTTAATGCTTCGAACAAATCCATTTTGGTTGTTCCTTTGTCGCTAAAAGTGTGAGCATGTAACCCAAACTTTATCGTAATTGCTATTCGTTTCTTGTGCTTCAAAGAGTCTGTAAACACATTTTTGCTTTTCCATTACTTAAAAGGCCTACACATTGAGCACATTTAAACTAGTGCTCTGTAGGCAGTTCCATGTTTAAGCATTTAGTAAGCAACAATCTTTCCACGATAAAGTTGTTTCAATACCAGCATATTGCGATCAATAAGGAATATGCTTGGAGAGTTAAGGTCAGTGTTTGAAACAGCCTCTGAAATGTATTTAAGGGTGTAGTAAGTAGAATGTGCAGTAAGGTGTGAAGGCTCGAGAGTAAGCTAACAGCATGTGGAAGGTGAGAGTCTCTATCCACACCACTTTCTGGCCCAATCGTATTTATCACGTGAAGGCACCGCTATTCCTACCACTATGAAAAAGCCATCATACCAAACTCGGGAGAGTATCAATTTCTAACTGCCCACTTCTGCATTAGGGTTTCGTAAACCTGCGATAAACTCCATATCAGTTGGACAGGTGATGGAATGAGAGCTAAAAATTTTTGAACAAACACACACTTAATTGTTTCCGCTGTGCTGGCGTTGCTAGAATAATTTTGGTAGACAAGCAGAATGATTGGAGAAAGCTGTCCCCACTATTGTCTGTGTCTATCTGGGCTTAGGCGAAGTCTTTTCACTTCTCCTCAAGCAACGATGTACCTCGCTTACCTACCTATAGGTGAAAACGAGTAGAAACAAATGTTACGGATTCGTGATATTTTTTCCACCGTTTTCTTCCCCAGCCAGAGGGTTAAAGCAATATTGTTACAAACGTTCACTTAAGAGATATCGGAATCTGGTATAAAATGGCTTTCTCTTAAAAAATTGTATTTCATTAATACGGAATTAAGACACAGCATTAGCGTTTGGAGTCAATAAATGAAATGTCCCCTTTCAATAACACTTGGTATAAATGTTACCTTCAAATGCAAAAATACTAAATGAGTACCTTTGTAAAAGTAACTGGTAATGTAGAAAAAGGGAATATTGTGTTGTCTACAGTGTATCAAAAGCGCCATTACTTCACTCAACTGACAGACCTCTTTCATACCCCGATCCGCTTTGACAACGATAGCAGAAGTAATGATTATGCAAACGGCAGTAGCAAAATGCGGCCATTAGCATTAGGGAGGAGGAGGAGGTTTCATCCTTATTAAGTCCGATTACCTTGAAAAGACGTCCAAATCCCACTACTGGCTTCCATTTCCTACACCAATTAAAAGCTAACGAACTAAATAACGACCCTTTTAGGACCCTTCAAGTTCTGTGTGGTATTCACTGCTCTGCTTTCAAAACAGGAGGTGCTCGACTTTCCGATCGTCACTTCCTCCTCATTAGCTTCGATTATGTTCATCTTCCGAGAAGATTTGAATGAGACTTACAGTGATACGCGACAATATATGTGAACACTAAAATTTTCCTTTACTATCTTAAAAAGACATGAACTAAACGAACTGCAGCGGTAAATATCTTGATTGTCGCTCCTGCCTACTCTTATTTCTGTCGATTTGCATGGTTCCCCACTCCTCTTAGGCCTCTGAACAAAGTATTTTATCCTCACGAACTGTTGCCACGCAAAGCTCGAGACTTGGCCTGTGTCCGCTTTTGAAAAATTGGGACTCTAGGCGGCCAAATTTTAGTGGACAAACAAAATCCCCATGATTAATACGACTAATTACCAACGGAGATGCCTAGTTGGAACACCTGCAGGAGGTTGGGATAAAACCATTAAGAGAAAAATTACATGTCACTTACCACTTGGAAGCGCAAATGATTGAGAGAGATAGCGATTAAACGAAGTAAGCTAATGAGAGCTACCGTTGGAATGATAAAAAGAAGGCGAGGCCGTGGATTTTCAACACTTTTAAAAGCGATTTGCTATTAAGAAGTTTCAAGTTCAGCAAAGCCAAAGAATAGTTTATTTTGCAACGCCAAAACGAATGTGGTAAAGCTGTTGGATGTAATGCCCTTCTAATAAGTTGATAATGTCACCGTAAGCATCACCTCCAAGGGGATGTTCGCCTTTGGCTAGAGGTCCACGAAATAGTTTGTGTGATATCACTCAATGCAAAAGATGAAACGTCTTTAGACTACAATCAAGTGCAGCACAGTGATAAAACGCACAGAAATCTCGTGCTTTGTGTGGGTGGGTAGTTTATTTACAAGGAAAAATGCTCCCAACTTCGTATCTATTTGTCCTTCTTAGGCAGCATAACGCAAAAAGCTTTTCAGTTCACATTCGCAAGGCATGTGATCGTAATCCTGCACTAACGAAGATTAGCGTGCCTTAAACCTTGTCATTCCACAGGTCAGGAATGGTTTTCTCGATGCACTTAAACTGGTGATGAAGTAAATTCAACTGTTTAAAGAAAATTGCTCGAGTGACACGACTTGCTCGTTTCATCGCTGTGAAATACGAAGTTTGTTAAAGAGAGAACATTGCTTGGAACGCCCATGCAAACCAACAAAACTCAAGTTGTTTTTGCATCTCTGATGAGTTTTCGTTGATTACGAGGACTAGACACGTCAACTCAAAGTCGTTAATTATCTGGTTTAAACTGAAAACCAGTTTATGTTCACATGGACTCGCTTGTTTTATGCAGCAACGGAAAAGCCTGTTTGACGTAGGCAGTTGGAGAAGATTCATCAGAAATT